CAAAAAAAAAACGAAAAAAAGAGAAAATTGAAGTTGGAGGGGGTTGGAGTTAGATGTGAGGGTATGTGAAGTTTTTGGAAAAAAATTTCCTAACTTTTTCTAGAGAAATTATTTTTCTTTAATTTCAGAAAAATATGATATCTAGGAAAATATTTTTCAAACTATTTTGTGCAAACAAACAGCGAAAAATGTCACGCCAAACACACCCCAAAAAGAGGAACTAATAGAAAATGTAATTTGGTTGTTAAACGTAAATAGTCCTCTTCCGTTTCCCAAAAAATGACATTATTAATATATGGAAAGTTAAATAATTTATTTTACTACGAGTTTTTCAAGCATTTAACTCTAAAAAATAGTGATTTATCTTTCTAATATAATTTTTAAATATGTAAATTTTATCATAAAGGTGATGGAATTCAGATTGAAAATCAGATGATTTTGACCTCATGCTACGAACTGTTCCGTTCTTTTTTGGACAGAGGGAGTAGTATGCAAAGAATCCAGAGAAGTACTATAGTTACATATAAACAAAATGTGTCAAATAGTTATTATCTGATTGCCATGAACGGCAGTGGTTAATTCTTGTCAATAATGTCTTCATCAGAACTGTCAAGGCACGTTGAAAACAACAGTATGGAACTTATCATTTTACTAAGACACGACATTTATGCCTGTCAGTTAACGAAATAATAATATAATCCCCATTAATTATATTAGTATTTGTTAAGTAACTACAGTGATTAATCTGCTGTGTGCCTTATCTGTATTTTCATCAATAATTGAGAATTCTGTATAATTATATTGGTAGTTCTACCAATTATTTCTACTTTTGTCTCGTTGGTCTGCAGAGGTATTAGTAGTTGAACCAATTGTTTTCTTTGCTTCTATTACTGAAGGGAAAAATAAATGAGAAAAATTTCGCTGAAGAAAAACTCTTTTATCACTATTCACTTCTATGAATTCAAAGCATGGCTGAAATAAGAAACTTGTTGGGTTAAGCCTTATTGGTAACTAAGCTACGTACATTTAACAAGTTATAAGCATTCTGCTTCATCATCTTCTTCTTTTTCCAATCAATTGCAAAAGACAAATATCTAATGCTCAATGTCTATAACGTCCCATTATTTTTTACAAGGACATATAAATTACAAAGAGCATCGATCAAGCCATGTAACTCGTACACGTTGAAGCATATATATAGACATAACGTATTTTTCTTCTCCTATTTTAATTTTCTTTCACCAAAGATATACCGGCTGTTGCTCCCAAACACACACGCAAGTATACGTAGTCGTATAAGTAATAAATGATAAGTCGAGTGTCGAACCCACTAAATTCACCAAGATTGTTATTCAGTCAAGCCAAATTCGAGTTCAAGAATGTGATTATATTAAACTATACTTTTAAATAGTAACTCAATTATCAAGCACTAAAATGATTGTTGTGTATTCAGTAGAGACAAATATTCCAGGGCTGTGATCGATTCACCAATCCTATTGTGTTCTAGTTAACTCTCCCTTTCATACAATTCACTCATGGTTGCTAATTAATCGATAATTGCTCTCATAGCCTTCTCCCGAAGTACTACTCGCCTGTTCAAGATAAATTAATGCCTATATTCCTATGGAATCAATCTATCAAGAACGCATTAAGATTACGATATTTAATTAAGCA